GATTTTGCTGCGGTTCTCTGTGCTTCCTGCATCTGGATTTCTGTTTCTTTCTCCAGATTAGGGAAGTTTTCAGCTATTATTTCTTCAATTAATTTTTCTTCCTCTTTTCCCTTTCTTCTCCTTCTGGTATCTCTATAATGCAAATGTTATGCTTGATGACATTGCTGAGTTCTCTTAACCTACTCATATTTTTTATTACTTTTTTCTTTTTCTTCTTCAGCTTGATAGTTTTCCATTACTTTATCTTCCAGATCCTTGATTTGTTCTTCTGCTCTCTCTAGTCTACTATTTTTTTCATCTAGTGTATTTTTAATTTCAGTTATTGAGTTCTTTATCTCTGATTGGTTCTTTTTGACATTTTCTATCTCTTTGTTAAAGGTCTCATTGGCCCTTCCACTCTTTTCTCAAGTCTAGTGACTATTTTTATGACCAATCCTTTGATTTCTCTATCTGGCATATTGCTTATCTTTGTTTTGTTTCTATTTCTTTCTTTCTTTCTTTCTTTCTTTCTTTCTTTCTTTCTTTCTTTCTTTCTTTCTTTCTTTCTTTCTTTCTTCTTTCTTTCTTTCTTTACTATGATTATGCCCTGTTCTTTCATTTGGGGCACATTCCTTTGTTTCCTCATTTTGTCTAATTCTCTGTGTCTGTTTCTATGTGTTAGGAAAGTCAGCTACATCTTCTGCTCTTAAAAATAGTGGCCTTATGAAGAAGAGGTCCAGTAGTGTCCTGTAGTGCAATGTCCCTTGTGCATCAGAACTTGATGCTTCAGGGATGTCTCCTAAGTGTGTCGTATGTGCCCTACTGTTGTGATTGAGATGTTTTTGCTTTCAGTCCAGTTGTCTGCAATGCTTTCTTTGCCTGTTATGGGCAGAGTTTGGTCCCTGTGCTGTTAAGGAGCTAGTCTTAGGCCACCTTGGGCTTGAGTTGGGTCAGACTAGATGCCTGCCCTCAGCCCACTACTGGGTGTGTGTGTCATACTGGTGTGTGTGGTTATCTTACCCTCTCCCCAGGGCAAGACTCTGGAGTGGTGCTGACCATTTTTGGGGATGTTTGCAGGATGAGACCTGTAGCCACTTTAGAGGGACTCTGCTGAATGGGGATGGTTGGATGGTGCAGTCTGCAGGAGAATGCAGGGGCAGGGTGCACTCTCAGCAAAGCTAGATGGAGAGTGTTTGGTCTGATTCCCATAGGTATCTGTGTATCTAAGCTAGTGGGCAGGGAGAGAAATGGCACCAGCCAACTCGTTTGTTCTTGGAGAAGTCTCCCAAAGGTATCTGCCCCTCCTGTATATGCTCTGAGACCAGGAAATAAATCTTCCTGCATACCCCATATGTTTTTCAAACTGCTGCTTTTATGCTATACCTAGGCAGGGTTGTTTGTTATACTGTTTCTTTAAGGGTTAGGACTCAGTTTCTTATCACCCTCAGGCTCTCTCAGAACCAAGCCTGCTGATTTTTTTAAAGTTTTTGATGTTAAGCCTGCTGATGGAGCCATGTGGTATTGGAATAGTTCTGTATCCTGACTGTGTCAATGTCATTATCTTTGCTGTGATATCATATTGTAGTTTTAATTAATTAATTGATTGATTGATTTTAATGCATTCTTCTTGATTCAATTTTATTTTAGGACTGGCACAGCATATTCCTTTTCTGTATGTGTGAATGTGTATATGTAAATACATGTACGATGTTGGTGAATTAATGTTTGTGATATTTTTACTAAGGAAAGACGTGGAAACCAAGCATACTGTAGTTTTTAAAATGTTACCCTGGGGGAAACTGGCTAAAGGGAACATGGGTTCTTTCTGTAATATTTCTCATACCTGCATATGACTCTATAATAATCTGAAAATTGAGAAAAAACATTTAAGTAAAAAATGAAAGCTATGTTAGATGAGGTCAAAACTGATTCACCTCTTTCACGCACACAGAGTCAGGACCTACTACATAATTTGCAGGGTCAAGTGCAAAATAAAAATGTGGAGTGTCTTGTTTAAATAGTAGTAATAACTTGAAGACGTCAATGCTGGCATATTAAACCAAGTGGGAAGCCCTTTTGAGCATGGAGGTCTGCTGCTGGACAGACAGCATGTCCATGTAGCTGGTCCTGCACACAGTCATTCTTTGGCACAGTCGCAATTCATCATAGCCTGCTCGTGCTCAGTGTTTTTGCTTCCTGAAGAGGGTACTTTCTTTGCTGAGCTACTTAACAATAGTTGCTTTGCTTAGCAGGCTTCCCTCACTTCTCTCAGATCCTTTGCATGATGCACTAAGATGAAACACACCATTTCTCCTACCCTTAAGAATCACTGATATTCAGAATATTTAAACCCAGGCACTGGACTATCAGAACAAGCTCTGGCCAGTGTTCTGCACTTGGGGGCAATGGCTTTATCTGAAACTGGAAGAAAAAAGATTGTAGATATTCTCTGGACCAAAGCTTCATCAGGAACATTTTAGATACTAAAGCTCATAATGTTTCCTTAAGCAGGCATAAATCATTAGTAACTGAACACTAAGTATTTAACAGCTGAAGTTTATTGGACACCTTTACCTAAATCATAGATTTCATTTTTCAGAACAAGCCTGTCACCATATAGATCTTGAGGGTGAGAGAACTTAGTTAATATGCTGTAATAATAATTTGTGTAATAATACATTACCACAAATTATGGTTTTAATAATCAGAAATTTTTATCTTATAGTTCTGGAGGTCAGAGATTCAAAATGGATCTTATAGAGCAAAATTCAAGTTGTTGATAGAGCTATGTTCCTTTTGGAGCTCTAGAGGGGCACCTCTTTCCTTCCTTTTTATAGCTTCTAGACACCACCTGCATTCCTTGGGTTGCTTGATCTTCAAAGCCAGCAGCACAGCTCCTTCAAACCTTTCTCTAGGTACCATTGCTGCCTTCCTTGAAGAAAGACCCATGTGACTAAATTGAGTCCACTCAGATCGTCCAGAATAATCTCCTCATCTCAAGATTTTTGTTTTGTTTTGTTTTGTTTTAAGATTTAAGGCACAAGCAGGGAGAGGGGCAGAGGGAGAAGCAGGCTCCCACTGAGCAGGGAGCCTGACGTGGGGCTCAATCACAGGACCCCGGAATCATGACCCAAGCTGAAGGCAGACGCTTAACCGACTGAGCCACCCAGGCGCCCCTCATCTCAAGATTTTTAACCACATCTTCAAAGACCTTATTTTTTTCTATTTTTATTTTTTAGAGAGAGAGTGAGCTCACACAAGGTCAGGGGAAGGGCAGAGGGGAGGGAGAGAGAGAATTATAAGCAGGCTCCATACTCAATGCAGAGCCCTGCATTGGGCTCATCTCACAACTCTAAGATCATGACCTGAGCTGAAATCAAGAGTTGGAGGCTTAACCTACTGAGCCATCCAGGCGCCTCATCTTCAAAGATTTTTAAAATTTTTTCCCATGTAAGGTAATATATCCACAGGCTTGGGGATTAGGACATGGAATCTTTGAGGGTCTAAAATTCTGCCTACCATATATATGGAAAGTAAAAAAAACTACTGCGTTTTAAGAGTTGTGTTCAGGCTGGGATTATTTTTCTCCAAAGGCCGTGTTCTTTCACATAGTGTATACAGGCTTTTATATTTCTCTCACACTGAATACACTTATCATCCATTCTGTTGTCAAAACCAGAAAGGCCAAGAAAAGTGGGGCAGAGGTCAAGTAAGACTAAATAGTTATCATGAGTTTTTGCTGTTTCCTGTAATTTTTTTTATCAGTGATGTGTTCCAACAAAAAATCTGATAAAATTACTTTTACATTAGTCACTTGGAATAGTTCCTTCTATTGAATAGCAATGACCCTGAAGGGACTTTTTTCTTTTTTCTTTTCACAGCCAGATTATTAGTCACTTATTTCTGTCTCTCAAATATATGCCTAATTTAAAAAAAAAAAATCTTGTTTCAGAAAAGAAAAAAAAAATCCTTTTCCTAAGCGAAATTAAAATAGCTCTCAGTGTCCCCTGTTTTTTCACCATGTAAAAACATGTAGGTGTATCTTAAATATGGTGTCAATACAGGGTTTCCTAAGAAAGTGAACATGATCTTAGGGCTTAGAGGTCATGAAATTCACAGTTTAATATAGAGCGTTTGTGTTAATTAGAAAGTTATTTTCTCGCATTTCACCTTTCACAGTTTGTGTTCCAGCCATCTTAAGTATCAGGAGGTTTCCCAACTATACTCCATGTTCTCTTCTCTTGAACTAGATGAACACAGTTCCCTTCAACTGGAGCCCTTCTGCCATTTCAGCCTTACTGTTTCATTCAGCTAACACATCATCATGACTGCAAGAACTAATTTTTCTGTTTCTTTTTCTCATAGTGAGGAGCTGTTTCAGGAATAGAAACAGAAATTTGGAATGTATGACTGACTCAGAAATGTCACAGGAGTCAACATTTGACCTTTACTGACTATGTAGGGTCTTACTTTCAAAGTAGTTCCTAAATCAGCCATTTAATCATGGGGTCTGTCAGTAACTGTGAACTTAGACAAATTACTCAGTCCTTACTCAAGGAGCTCATTTTAAAATAAAAGTAATAATAATATCAGCTTCATTATTTAGTTGTACCAGTTAAATGGGAACACATATTTAAGTCTTTCATCAGTACTTCTGGATCATGATAAGTGACAATAAACCATTGTTTTATGTTATCACACCATGAGAATAATAGTAAAAGTATTGTTATTAGTTCCTGTCTGTGTAGGAATTCCAAGATAATGTGAAATTTATCGAGGTTTACTTTCTGTCCTCTTTGACAACAAAATCATGAAGAATGTAAAAAGGATAAACTTGAAAATTTACATTTACTTGTACTGATGGTAATATAAGTTGAGAGATACCAAGTTTATACTGAGCACTAGAAGAGGCTTTTGCTGTAGCAAGCTGTTTCAGTGTCATTTCGTTCCTCTTTCCTTTTTAGGCATGTGTAACTGAAGCCAAAACTTCAGTTAGAGGAAGTTCTAACCAGAATGTAAGTTGTTTCTCTTGTTTTTTTTCACATTCTGGCACTGAAACTGCCGACCGAGTGAGCTGTCCTGTAAGAACTGGGCACAAAATGCATGATAGCAATCGACTGGAGAAAAATTTTATAACAGTTGACTTGCTGGCAACCTCAAGTAAGAAGCTGGACTGTATGACATGAATGTGGGAACTGAGGTGGTAAGATTATAGCAGTGATGGGATCTAGTTTCTGCAAAGGGAAAATGGTTAACAGTCTTTTAAAGAGTTTTCAAGGATGAGAGATGGAATTCTAGGGGTTATAAATTAGTTTATAATTTGTGTAAAAATATGCAGATACTTAAGTGCACTTGTCCTAACAAGTAAGGAGAGAGAACTCTTAGAGAAAGATGTAAGAGAATGGGGTCAGGTTAAATTTATGATTGAGAATAAATATTTAAAAATTAATGTCATTGAAACATATACTAATATTTTATTAATATTATTAATAATTCATCAATCAGCTATTAAATATTAAAATTAAAAAATAAATTAAACAAATGATGAAATTAAAAATTAAAAAACATTAATAAAAATTAATTTCACTGAGGGGCACTTGGGTGGTGCAGTTGGTTAAGCACCCAACTCTTGATTTTGGCTCAGCCCCATGTTGGGGCTCCATGTGGAGTCTGCTTAAGACTGTCTGTCTCTCGGGGTGCCTGGGTGGCTCAGTCATTAAGTGTCTGCCTTCGGCTCAGGTCATGGTCCCAGGGTCCTGGGATTGAGCCCCGTGTCGGGCTCCCTGCTAAGCGGGAAGCCTGCTTCTCCCTCTCCCACTCCCCCTGCTTGTGTTCCCTCTCTCGCTGTCTCTCTCTCTGTCAAATAAATAAATAAAATCTTTAAAAAAAAAAAACTGTCCCTCTCTCTCTTCCTCTGTCCTTCCCCCCACTCTCTAAAATAAATAAATCCATTATTAGAAATTATTTATTAGTATTATTTTATTAACAATATTAGTATTAAATATTAATTTAGTTACTATTAATGTTAAATCATTTATTAATATTAATATTATTTATTATTATACGCTTATTATTTATTATTAAAAATTAATTTCACTGAAAAGAACAATACATAGTTGAAAGTGTTATATAGACACAGGGTATTATCATTATTAAATAAGGTAAAAAGGGGGCACCTGGGTAGCTTAGTCAGTTTAGTGTCTGCCTTAGACTCAGGTAATGATCTCAGGGTTCTGGGATTGAGCCCCACATCTGGCTCCCTGCTCAATGAGGAGTCTGCTTCTCCCTCTCCCTCTGCCCCTTCCTTCAGCTCATGGACTCTCTCTCTCTCCCAAATAAATAAATAACACCTTTAAAAATTAATTAATTAATTAATTAATTAAAAAAAGTAAAAAAAATTATCATGAAAGCTCATAGGAAAGAAAGAATTAAAAAGTAAAGAAAAGGTAAAATGATGAGTTTTTTTAACAAATAAAAAACATAAACAGAAGTCAAAGAAAAACAGTAGAGCTTTCAAATGGAATTATCTTACATTGGCTACACAGTAAAAAGAAAATATCTAAATATACATATATAATCTCACATATATTATGCATTTATATGAAGCTTGAAACTTTTAAAAAAACATTTGTATTTGAGGCTTTATATGATGATTTAATAAGTGAAAAAAGGTATTTTGTACCTGTTGGGGAAAACTGAAGTGTTGTAATTTACTACTGAAAAAAATATTTTTGTCTTTGGTAGAGGTAGTAATCAATTTAGAGAGAAGGCAGTTCAGATGAGGAAAAGATGATTTCTAATTATTATTAAATGACTTCATTTATTTATTCATTTGGTATTTTGAGTATTTCTATAACAGCTGCTTTAAAATATATGTCAGATAATTCCAACATCTGTGTCATTTTAGCATTGGCTTTTCTTCATTTTCTTTTCCCATGAAAGTTGAAATTATCATGGTTATTCATATGCTGAGTAATTTTGGACTGTATTCTGGACATTTTGAATGAATATTTTGTTGTGAGACTTTTGACTTTACTTAAATTTTTGGAGTATATTAATGTTTTTGGTTTTAGCAGGCAATTACTCTGGCTAGGTTCAGGTGTTCTGTGGGCTTTATTCCAATGTCAGCTCACTTTTTGGATCCTTTGTAATGTTATTCACATCTTTCCTGCATGTGCATCAACCCAGTGGTCAATCTGGTAAACATTAATGAAAAGATTTCTAGTGTGGATAGAATATTAGAGAGAAATATACCTGTTTAGCCAAGAACATCTCTAGATGAAGTAGCTAAAAATGTGTGCAGTAGCCAAAAGATGGAGTCAGAAGAGGGTTCCAATGATAAAATTTACAAGAGGTTTTAGATAATGTAGGATGTTTTGAGATATGATGTAAATGTAGAAAAATGTACAAAACAAATATACAGCTTAATGGATTATTCTAAGTTGAGCATCCTTGTTAAATACTGTCTTTGTTAGAGAAAGAAGTTTGCTATCCAGCTCAGAAGCCCTCCAAGTATCCTTTCGAATCACATTAAATTGATTTTTATGAGAATCATTTTCTCACTTTAATTTTGACTTTTTTTTTTTTTTTAAGCCTTTTAAGTCTCTTTTAATCAAAAGATTTCCTCACGGTTGCTTTTTAAAATTTGCCTTTCACTTTTTTCTTTAAGATTCAAGATAATTTATTATGTAGAATTTCCAACAGTCTGGAGTTTGTTGATTTCATTCCTGTTGCTTAATTGACATGATTCTCTCTCTCTTGTATTTCTATTAAATTGGTAGCTGGATCTGGAAGTTTAATGAGATTTTTATTTAGTTTTTGGGAGGGGTGCAAAGCTGTTCATGGGTTAGTTGTGTGTTAAGATCAATTTTACTTTCTGTGAACAATTAAACTAGAGAGAGAAAATTGTAAATTCACAAAATGATAGGCCAATTGCCCCCTCCAATGAAAAGGAAAGAAGTGAAAGTAACATTTTGATGGTTAATGCTTCTAGTAGTCTGATGTCTGTTCTACATTTAATGGAAACATAAACAAAAACAAAAACATGTTTTCAATATTTATTTTTCCAGATTACCAGCATCCAAGGAAGCATTCTATTACTGCTACCCCGAATCAAGTCTTGGTTTTATCCACAGTCATATGTCTGATATTTATATTGCTTGGTATAATTATGAGTTTGTTAGGTAAGTGAATTGTAATCTTTGTTCATCTAGACAAGTCCATTTTCCAAAAGAAGAGAGGATTTATTGATAATTTTCCTGTTCTTTACACTTCTTTACAGTTTAATTTCACTGAGTTAAATTCCAAAAATTAAATTTTTGGAGTATATTAATGTTTTTGGTTTTAGCAGGCAATTACTCTGGCTAGGTTCAGGTGTTCTGTGGGCTTTATTCCAATGTCAGCTCACTTTTTGGATCCTTTGTAATGTTATTACCTTATAAGTGGGGTCTTAGATCTTAATTGTGTAATATAGAGGTCATATTATTGGAAGCTTAATAGAAGGACCAGAGTCCGCATAAGGTAGAACCCAGTTGCCAATCATATTGTGCTTTAATTTATATTATTGCTAGGCCTTTAACCATGTAGTTTTAATCTATATGTATACATATATATTTATATACTCATATATTTTAACTACAAACATATATTTATATACTTTATATGTTTATACAATTTACTCTCAAATTACATTTTCTTTTTAAAATTTTTTTCTTTGGATTAAGGATATATAAAAATGAGCTGTAATAGACATATAACATTATATTAGTTTCAGGTGTACAATGTAATTGAAATTAAATTTTCAATTAAAATTACTTCAAAGGTATTATGTGTAGATCCTAATGGAGGACACATCAAAATAGAGCTGTAGAAGCTGAATGTGTATGATTTATGAAATTGTGTTTATGTTTGAATATTGGCCAATAATTCAGTAATTTTTAAACCATATATTAATGAGGCTATAGGCTGAGATATTAGAAAGAAGAGAGGATCACAAAAAACATGGTGGTTTACAAAATATAGATGATCAATTTAGATGATCAGTTTTTTTGTTTTGTTTTTTAACCTTTTTCTATTACTATGGTATACGAGGTTAATTGACTTTTGTATATTGAACAATCCTTGCATTCTGGGATTAATTGCACTTAGTCATGGTATTTAATCTCTGCACCCCTCCCCCAAGTCATTGAGGTATAATTGATATCTGTATATATGTGAAATAATCAGTACAAATTAATCAACATATCCATCACTTCACAGTTACCTTTCTGTTGTCGAGAACACCAAAGATCTACCCTCTTAGCAAATTTTAAGTATACAATACAGCATTGTTAACTATAGTCACATTGTGTATGTTATATCTCCAGAACTTATTCTTCTTGCATGACTGAAACTTGGTACCCCTTGCCCAACATCTCAGTATTTCCCCCACTTTCCCTTCCCTAGCAACGACCATTCTACTTTCTTCTTCTATGATTTTGACTATTTTATATTCCATATATGAAGTAAGACCATACAGTGCTTGTATGCATCTGATTTATTTGATTTAGCACAGCGTCATCCAGGCTTATCCAATTTGTCACAAATGGCAGGGTTGCTTCCACTTTAAAGGCTGAGTATTATTTATATATCTTGGGTATTTTGAAAATGCTGCAATGGGTAGGGGAATGCAGATATTTCTTTAAGATAATGATTTCATTTCTTTTAGATATAACCCCAAAAGCAGGGTTACTAGATCATAAGGTAGTTCTATTTTTAATTTTTTGAGAAAACTTCATACTGTTTTCCATAATGGCTGTACCAATTTACATTCTCATGAACAGTATACAATGGTTCCCTTTTCTCCATATTCTTGCCAGCACTGGTTGTCTTTTGTCTTTTAAAAAATAGCCATTTTAACAAGTGTGAGGTGATAACTCATTGTGATTTTCAGGGACAAAGATTTATTTTACTTCTATAACACACATGCTTGCATGAATACAAGCAAATCAGATGGAAAGAGAGAGAAGTGCGAGAATATCCAAACTACTAACTGGCTGTATAACAGTGCAGGCATAGAGGTATTGTGGTCTTCTTGTCCAGATACTCTAGCATCTTCCAGCCCCCACTTTTTTGGAATATATAGCCAGTTTTCCCAGACAACACATTATTTCTTGGATTGCATACCCTGGAAGCAATTTAGCTAATGAAGATGCCCTTATAGCTTAGAACACACTTGCACTGTATCAAATGTAAGCCAAGCTTTGCTGTAGAAAATTACAAGAATATTCCTCTACACCTCCACCCCAACCTGAGTAATAACATAAAACCCACCCTGCTATTATTATATCCAGACGTAATATCCTAACAAGCTTTCCAAGTGTTGCTTACAAATACTAGAGTCAATAATACTTGGAATATTCCATGTTCCAGGGGATCCTTATTTATTTTTTAATATTTTTATGATTCCATGGATAATGATCTATTCTTGCCATTCTATAACCAAAAATAAAATACCTTATACATTGATGAAGCAAAAATAGAGATTTGAATTAACATTACTTAATAAAGAAGCTGTAAATAGGAGAAAATGGTCATAAAAGTGGAAGAGTCAGCTACTAGTGGATCAATAAAGACCATCTGAAAAAACTTTCCATGCTCTGAATCCTACTTGAAGAGAGCATCTCTCCTGGTTATATGGGAAGTGTATCAGAAAAGCTTGTCCAATGGACTATTGTCAGCTTCAAAATATAGAGAGCATCACAAAATTTCCTTAGTAGAAGGAAGCTCCTTAGTATAAGAATGCTCAGGGTAAAACTACTTCTTTTACCCTCATGGGACTCTTTAGACATGTATCCGACTATTTCATCTCAAGAAACTATTCACAAAAGGTATCTATACCCTGCACCTCATTTTATTTAGGAAAGTATCTAGAGCTCTTGAACTATCTGTTCTCTAAGGCTGATAAAATGTTGCTACTGATGTACCTAATATTTTAAGGAAAGGTAACATTGTTGAAATCCAAGTAGACAGGTATATAGTCCAGAGTTTAAGGCATTATTTATTCTTTTTTCAATTCATCCACTAACTAAGGCACTACTTGAATCTTAGCTTTGACATTTGCTGTGTAATATATGCAATGACTTTCAAAATTCTATTCCTCATTTGAAAAATAAGGATAATACATTTAGTATTTCACATGACTATTGAAAAGTGTATTAGAAAGCACTTGGTAATATATATAGGAAAATATAAAAGCAAGTTGTTTTTATTTTTAGTAACTGGAAGAAAATTGCATCAGATATCATCAGAGTGTTTTGAAGCTGCATGCCCAGAAACCTGGATTGGTTTCCAAAGAAAGTGTTTCTATTTTTCTGATGACATCAAGAATTGGACATTCAGCCAGAGGTTTTGTGATTCACATGGTGCTGATCTTGTTCAGGTTGAAACCATCCAGGAACTGGTAAGAAAATAGTTCTACCTAGAATAAAAAAAATTGGCTCCTCCAATATGCTATGCAATTCTATGTGAGAATGTCTAAAATACAGGTTTAGATATCTGCTTAGATATTGATTTTTTAACATAAGGAGAGAAAAGCCAGCAGATGCTACATTCTGCAGTGGGCCATCTACAATTACCTATGAATTACATTCATAGCAGGAAGGTGGCCAGCGAGCAAGCCAGTGCTTTCTTTGACTTATGAGCAAGAAGTGTGCAAATAGAATTAGACAATTAGAGAGGGAAACATAATTTTAAATTGTATTAAGTTAACATTGCTTCAAAATGAATCAGGCAGGAGTGATATCAGAGAAGATGGCAGAGTAGAAAGCTCCTGGAGTCTGTACCTAAACAACTATTGAGCTGGCAGAAACTCTCTCAAGTAACTGAGTTGGAACTCTGGAGTCTTGCAGCATCCAAGGGATAACTTAATGAAGAGGTTAGTAAATTTCACTTAATCCCAGTGAAGTTCAGCTTTCCCATGCAGTGGCTACCATTCCCCACACCTCATCATGGCTGGGAGATACGGGGACTTCTGGCCATGTTCCTGGTAAAACTTGCTGGATCCAGGGTGGCCAATAAGAACATTGGTCTTCAAATATTGTGGTTATGTGCTGTTATTTTTGAGTGCTGCTCTTCATTGCCAAGGGGCAGATACAGAGGTGGGCTGTCATTTTTTTCTTCAACTTCTACCAACTGAAGTGATTTCCAAGGGATTTAAAGAAACAGTACTTGTTTTTTTCCCCCTTTGGGAGCCAGGCATTTAAGAAAATCTTTGGCAAGGAACTGGCTGACCATAGAAATAACAAAATAAAAATTTCAGTGACCACACACAGTAAGGAATACACATTTTGCAAAAATTATTAGGAAAAGTCACAGACAGTGGTTCCACATCTCAATAATCAAAATTGAACAATCTCTGAAGAAAAGAATTATATTCCCAGAGTTAACACCATAAAATATTCATAATGTCCAGTTCTGAACAAAGAAATTACAGAACATACAGATGAATAGGAAGGCATAACCCATTCACAGGGAGATATATCTGAAAGAAACCATCCCTGAGGGAGACCAGACATTGGAAATATTAGTCAAAGATGTAAAATCTACTGTACTAAATATGGTCAATGAGCTAAAGAAAACCATAGACAGAAAAAGTAAAAGAAATCGGGAAAATGATATATAAATAAAATGAGAATATCAATATAGAAGTAGAAATTATTAAAAGGAACCAAATAGAAATTCTGGAACTGAAAAGTACAATAATTGAAATGAAAAACTCACTAGAGGCTTCCTTTGAACAGAAAGAAGGAAGGATCAGCAAACTTGAAGATAAGATAATTGAAAGTATCCCATTTGAGGGCACCTGGGTGGCTCAGTTGGTTAAGCAACTGCCTTCCGCTCAGGTCATGATCCTGGAGTCCTGGGATCGAGTCCCACATCGGGCTCCCAGCTTATTGGGGAGTCTGCTTCTCCCTCTGGCCCTCTCCCCTCTCATGCTGTTTCTCTCTCTCTCGCTCTCTAATAAATAAATAAATAAAATCTTAAAAAAAAAAAAAAAAAGAAAGTATCCCGTTTGGGAATAGAAAGAAAAGAAAAGAAAAAACCCCAAAAATAAAAGAACAGATCCTGAAGGAACTGTGGTATCATCAAGCAAACCAATATATGCATTGTAGGGATCTCAGAAGGAAAAGAAAATAAGTAGGAGAAATATGTAAAGAAATAATGGCCCAAAGCTTCCCAAAGTTGAGGAAGGAGATGCATATACATGTCCAAGAGCCTCAAGGAACTCCTAAGCAAGATAAATTCAAAGAAATCCACACTAAGACAAATTAGAGTTAAGTTATCAAAACCCAAAGAGAAACTGGAAAGTAGCAAGAGAAGGGACTAGTCAGGTGTTGGGATCCTTAGTAAGATTAACAGTTGATTTATCCTGAGATACTATAGAAGCCAGAAAGCAGTGGAATGACATATTTTTAAATTCTGCAAAAAAACCTGCCGGTCAAGAATTCTGTAACTGTCGGGACACCTGGATGGTTCAGTTGGTTAAGAGTCTGCCTTAAGCTCAGGTCATGATCCCAGAGTCCTGGGATTGAGTCCCGCATTGGGCTCATTGCTCAGCGGGGAGCCTGCTTCTCCCTCTCCCTCTGCCTGCTTGTGCTCTGTCTCTCTCTCTGACAAAAAAATAAATAAATAAAATCTTAAAAAAAAGAATTCTGTATTTGTCAAAACAATCTTTCAGAATAGGGGAAAAATAAGATACTTCTAGACAAATAGCAGCTAAGGGAGTTTCTTAGCAGTAGGTCCATCCTTAAGGAACTATAAAGTCTGAAATTAAAGTACATTAGATAGTAACTCAGAGACGAAATAATAAAGAACACTCATAAAGGTAACCACACAGATAAATATAAAAGCCAGTATTACTATACTCTTGGTTTAGTTTGTAACTTCTAACTTTTCACATACGATTTAACAGGTGAATTCATAATACAGTATTATAGATCTATGTTAATGGGCATACAATGTATACATATATAATCTATGACAATAATATAAAGACAGAGTTGGAGATGTATAGGGACAAAATGCTAATATATGACTGGCAGTTGGATAAAAACAAAATGAGATCCATCTATATGCTCTCTATCAGAGACTCACCATAGATATAAAGACACAATGGATCGTGGATCACCACATCAAAAACTAATGATGTATTGTATGGTGACTAACATAACATAAAAAAAAAAAAAAAAAAAGACACAAAGAAGTTTAAAGTGAAAGGATGGAAAAATATATTAAATGCAAATAGTAACCAAAATGAGCTGTGTGGCTATATTCTTGTTGGATGAAATAGACAAAAGCAAAAAAGTTTATGACACAAAGAAGGATATTATATTTTGATACAAATTTTGATACATCAAGATCTAACAATTTTAAACATATAATACCCTAATAACACAGTCCCCAAATATATGAAGGAACGATTGACAGAACTGAAAGGAGAAATAGATAGTTCTATTATAATAGTTGAAGACTTCATGATTCCACTTTCAATAATGGGTAGAACAATCAGACAGAAGAACAGTGAGGAAATAGAAATCTTGAACAGTTCTACAAACCAATTAGACCTAAAAGATAGGCGGAACACTCCACCCAACAAGAACAGAATACATATTCTTCTCAAATGCACATGGAACATTTTTTCAGGATAGATCATATGATAGGTCACCAAACAAGTTAGTAAATTTGAGAAGATTGAAATCATATAAAGTTACTTTTGCAATCACAATGGAATGAAACTAGAAATCAACAACAGAAGGAAAACTGGAAAATTCACAAATATGTAGAAATTAAACAACCCACTGTTAAACATCCAGTGAACAAGAAAGAAATCATAAGGGAAATTAGAAAATACCTTGAGACAAATGAGGTGAAAATACAACATACCAAAACTTAAGATATGTGGTAGAAGCAATACTAAGAGGGAAATTTAGAGCTGTAAATGCATATCTTAAAGAAAAAAAGGAATATTTAAAATCAGCATCCCAACAGTATATCTCAAGGAAAAGAGAAAATAAATATCGTCTTTATGACTTAAAAGTAAAAATTTCCCTAAGAAGTCATTAAATCCACTAATCATAAAGGAAAATTATACATTTAATTATATTGAAATTAATACTTGTAATCATAAAAAGATGCTCTAAGTGTTAACAAAGATGTGTAGCATGGAAAACTGGCCTATAATGCTGGTGTGTAGAATTTCTTACAATGACATCAGAAAAGAATTTGGTATCATTTGGTAAAATTGACAATAAGTATTCACTGTGGCCTGATCATTCATTCCAGGACAGGTGCCAAGAATGTCATAACAGCATTCATAATAACTTCAAACTTTAAATAATGCTAGTGGAAATCAATAATAGAACAGATAAACAAATTGTGGAATATTAATACAAAGTGGGACTATGCTGAATTAAGAGGAAATTATCAGTAATTTCTCTCAGTTTTAATATTTATGTGTGTATGCTACTATGGCATATCTATTCTCTCTGTATTATTAAACAATACAAAATTAAAAAAGAGAAAATTATAAGAGCAGTTAAGAATATAACATAGAGGGGCACCTGGGTGGCTCAGTCTGTTAAGTGTCTGCCTTCAGCTCAGGTCATGATCCTGGGGTCCTGGGATTGAGCCCCTCTGCCACTACCTCCTGCTTGTGCCTCTCTCTCTGTGTCAAATAAATAGACAAAATATTAAAAAAATATATAGCATAGAAGCAACACTTCTTCTGGGAGAGGCCAGATAATGACAGGTTAACTCATATCATCTTTGTTTTCTAAAAGAATTTCCTATTGAGGTATAAAGGCCCTTATGACCACTGGATTGGTCTCAGCAGAGAACAAGGCCAACCATGGAAATGGATAAATGGCACTGAATGGACCAGCTGGTAAGTTCTGAAAAATATGATAGCAATATTTGTATTTGGATTTACGTTGCATGAAACCAAACGTGTTCTCCAATTATATCCTCTAAAAATTTTTTATTTTAAGATTAGTTATAAAGGAATAAAGTGAAAAATTGTAAGTTGCAGAGGTTTTGAAAGCTCCTCCAACCAATACAAAACCTATCATATGTGGCATGCTAGAATGGTGAACTTGACAACCACCTCCTCTATGTCATTGACCAACTCTTTCATGTTGAGCAAACTACACAATCTTTAAGTCTGTTGCTTACCTCTACAACAAAATTAATTGTACTTGCTCGATTGATCTCACAGGATTGATGTGAGAATCAGAGATTTTGATGTATATGGCTGCACTACTTAAACTTTAAAATCTTATATAAATGCAAGTTAAATTATTACATTAAACTATCACTGCATCAATCTTCAACCATTTACATAAGGATGAGTGACGGTAATGGCATCCATTATTTATAAGATCATAATTATAATGTTTAGCACAAGTACAGTTTGGCATTGCCAAATTTAATCTCAATCATATATCTATTGGGTCTTTATATTACTGGAAAAGTTTTGGATAATGTTGGAAGTCTTGGATTCAGACAATTTTGCTAAATGTTTTCTTGTCTGAGGACATGAGGAGGTTTTGAAAAGTTGCTTTGTGAGGTTATGAAAAGTAGCCAGCATTGGAAATATCACTTTATTTGGTGAAAAGGGCACTGGGTAGGACAGTGGTAGGTTTGAAAACTAGTTGTTACCTAGTAGCTTTTTGATCTTGGACAGATGTTAAGTTTTAGGAGTCAGAACTCATATTTACACACTGTTGTATGTGCAGTGCTTAGCACATTGTGGATGCTTGTTAAATATTTGGTATTAACCTTTACCTACTCCTTTATAATACTGAAATAGTAATGTTTACATCATCTAATTCTGTAAGTGTTTAAAGGAGCAAATATATTGTTAACTATATATTTATCAAGGGCTGGCTTGTCTCAGCGATAGGCAAATCATGTCACACTATAGCAATTTCACACAATACAGAAGAAAAACTTATAATCTGAATGCTGACCCAGATGTCTGTGTCAGGCCACTTAAATGCTGATGAATACCACAGGAGAAAATCAGGGCCCAAGAACAACAACAAAATTACCTGTAATATAGCAGCATTTCTTCCCTCTTCTCTTTCCCAAAGTGAAGAAGGTGGGAATAGCATGGGCCCTATATTTTCATCGATTTAGGCATGAATCCTAGTTTTACTTGTTATAGAATCTTGGGAAATTCTGTTGTTTTTGTTTGTTTGTTTGTTGTTGTTGTTTTTGTCCATAAAAAGAGATGATATATATCGCAGAGGGCAATTTTTAATATTAAAGAGATGATGTGTGTAATGCATCTTATATTTAGAGGCTGAATTAATGTTAGTTTCCTTATTTTCTCATCTTTATTCCCTCTGCTTTTGGAGAAATATCTGGTAGCCAACTGGATTGATTCTGCTTCTTCCATTGCAGTTTTCCTATCAGAGGAGGAGGAGAATGTGCCTATTTGAATGACAAAGGTGCCAGTAGCGCGAGGCATTACACGGAGAGGAAGTGGATCTGTTCCAAACCAGACACATATGCCCATACGCAGAGACAAAGCTCTATCTGATCTTCATATACTCATTGTGACCATATCAGTAAATTATTATTTTTCATCTTGTTTATTAGAAACTGTATTTTTTTTTTAAAGATTTTTTATTTATTTGAGAGAGAGAGAATGAGAGAGAGCGAGTACATGAGAGGGGGGAGGGTCAGAGGGAGAAGCAGACTCCCTGCTGAGCAGGGAGCCCGATGCTGGACTCGATCCTGGGACTCCAGGATCACGACCTGAGCCGAAGGCTGTCGCTTAACCAACTGAGCCACCCAGGCGCCCGAAACTGTATTTTTTTATTCTGAGTTTTTTTATGTGGTGATCTGTGGGTTCAAGCCCCACTTTGGGTTCCCTCCCTGCACTGGGATCCCTGCTCCGTGGGAAGCCTGCTTCTCCCTCTCCCACTGCCCCCTGCTCTCACTATCTCTCTCTCTGTCAAATGAATAAATAAAATCTTTAAAAATAAAATAAGACATGAATATAACCTGACGTTCTTTGTATATAGTTGGCGTTTTGTTATAAATTTTATAAATTTTCTCTCAAAACCCTGTGCAGGACAAAAAGCTTTCATTCTAGAATTACTTATTGAAAGAGTAGAAGCAGTTTTCTTTCTATTTAACTTCTTAGTCTTATTACACTCTCAGAACATTCTCTAATGTTACTAATATTATACTATGTGTTAACTAACTAGAATTTAAATAAAAACTTGAAGCAAACAAACAAAAGAGGTTAAAAAAATGATGTGTACTCTTCACCTATTTCACCCATCCCCCCTACCCACCTCCCCTGTGGTAACCATCAGTTCGTTCTCTATAGTTAAGAGTCGGTTTGTCTCTCTCTTTTTTTCCTTTGCTCATTTGTTTTGTTTCTTAAATTCTACATATGAGTGAAATCATATGGTATTTGTCTTTTTCTGACATATTTTGCTTACATTATACTCTGTAGCTTCATCCATGTTGTTGCAAATGGCAAGATTTCATTTTTTATGGCTGAATAATATTCCATTGTAGATACCACATCTTTGTTTGTTTCAAGTTTTTATTTAAATTCTAGTTAGTTAACATATAGTATAATATTGGTTTCAGGAGTAGAATTCAATGATTCATCATTTACATATAACACCCAATCCTCATCACAAGTGCTCTCCTTAATACTCATCACCCGTTTACTCCATCCCCTGCCCACCTCCCCTCCAGCAACCTTCAGTTTCTTCTCCATAGTTAAGAGTCTCTTATGGTTTGCCTCCCTTTTTTCTTTCTTCCCTTATGTTCATCTGTTTTGTTTCTTAAAAGCCACATATGAGTAAAATCATACGGTATTTGTCTTTTTCTGGATGACTTATTTCCCTTAGCATAATACCTCTAGCTCCATCCATGTCATTGCAAATGGCAAGATATTCTTTTCAATGGCTGGAATGATATATATATATATCTCTCTATCTCTCTCTCTCTATATATATATCTATATATATCTATATCTATATCTGTATATCACATCTTCTTTATCCATTACACACACACACACACACACACACCACATTTTCTTTATCCATTCATCAGTCAATGGACATTTGGGCTCTTTCCATAATTTGGCTATTGTTGATAATGCTGATATAAACATTGGAGTGCATGTACCCCTTTGAATCTGTATTTTATATCCTTTGGGTAAATACCTAGTAGTACAATTGCTGGATCCTAGTGTAGTTCTATTTTTAACTTTCTGAGGAACCTCCATACTGTTTTCCAGAGTGCCTGCACCAGTTGGCATTCCCATCAACACATCCTCTCCAACATCTATTGTTTCCTATGTTGTTAATTTTAGCCATGCCAACTGGTGTGAGGTGGTATCTCATTGTGGTTTTGATTTATATTTCCCTGATAATGAGTGATCTTGAGCATTTTTTCATGTGTCCATTAGCCATTTATATGTCTTTTTTTGGAGAAATGTTTGTCATGTTTTTTACCCATTTCTTGACTGGACTTTTTGGGTTTTTTGGGTGTTGAGTTTGATAAGTCCTTTTTTTAAAAAAAGATTTTATTTATTTGAGAGAGAGAGAGAGAGCAAGAGAGAGCATTAGTGGGGGGAGGAGCAGAGGAAGAGGGAGAAGCAGGCTCCTCACTGAGCAGGGAGCACAACACAAGGCTCAATTCCAGAACCCTGGGATCATGACCTGAGCTGAATGTAGATGTTTAACCAACTGAGCCACCCAGGCTCCCTGAATTTGATAAGTTCTTTATAGATTTTGGTACTACCCCTTTATCTGATATGTCATTTGTAAATATCTTCTCCCACTCCCTCAGTTGCCTTTTAGTTTTGTTGACTGTTTCCTTTGCTGTGCAGAAGGTTTTTTTCTTGATGAAGTCCCAATAGTTCATTTTTGCTTTTGTTTCCCTTGCCTTTGGAGATGTGTCTAGCAAGAAGTTGCTGCACTGAGGTCAAAGAAGTTGCTGCCTGTGTTCTCCTCTAGGATTTTGATGGATTCCTGTCTCACATTTAGGTCTTTACCTATTTTGAATTGTTTTTTGTGTATGGCATAAGAAAGTAAGGTCCAGTTTAATTCTTCTGCATGTTGCCATCCAGTTTTTCCAACACCATTTGTTGAAGAGACTGTCTTTTATCCATAGGATATTCTTTCCTGCTTTGTCAAAAATTAGTTGACCATATAGTTGTGGGTTCATTTCTGGGTTTTCTATTCCATTGATCTATGTGTCTGTTTTTGTGCCAGTACCTTACTGTCTTGATAACTACAGCATTATAATATAGCTTGAAGTCCAGAATTGTGATGCCTACAGTTTTGCTTTTCTTTTTCAAGATTGCTTTGGGTATTTGGGGTCTTTTGTAGTTCCATATAAGATTTAGGATGGTTTGTTCTAGTTCTGTGAAAAATGCTGGTGGTATTTTGATAGGGATTGCATTAAATGTGTTGATTACTTTGGGTAGTATAGACGTTTTAACAATATTTGTTTTTCCAATCTATTAGCATGGAATGTTTTTCCCTTTCTTTGTGTGCTCTTCAATTTCTTTCTTAAGTGTTCTATAGTTTTCAGAGTACAGATCTTTTACCTCTTTGGTTAGGCTTATTCCTAGGCTAGCCATCTTATTGTTTTTAGTGCAGTTGCAAATGGTTGATTCCTTGGTTTCTTTTTCTGCTGCTTCATTATTGGTGTATAGAAATGCAACAGATTTCTGTACATTGATTTTGTATCCTGCAATTTTATTGAACATTTTTTTTTATCAGTTCTAGCAGTTTTTTGGAGAGATTTTTTGGGTTTTCTACATAGAGTATCATGTTGTCTGCAAATAGTGAAAGTTTGACTTCTTCCTTACTGATTTGGATGCCTTTTATTTCTGTTTGTTATCTGATTATACCACGTCTTTTTTTATCCATTCATCTATCAATGGACACTTGAGCTGTTTCTATAGTTTGGCTATTATAAATTATACTTTTCATTAAAGTTTAAAGAAAAAATTAGGGACACTTGGGTGGCTCAGTTGGTTAAGCATCTGCCTTTGACTCAGGTTGTGATCTCAGGGTCCTGGGATTTAGCCCTGCATCTGGCTCTCTACTTAGTGGGGAGTCTGATTCTTCCTCTCAGTCTCCCTCTGTGTTCTCTCTTTCTATCTCAAATAAATAAATAAAATCTTAAAAAAGAACTAGAAGGACTTAATTTTGTGAATTTTTACACTCAGTAGAGCTTATCACTGGGAACCTTAAAAATCAGTGGCTTGGCTCTGGGAAAGTCTAAGGGTAATAGAAAATTGAGTACATGCCCTTAAAGAGCCAGCATAACAAACAACCTCACCAAGATACAGCATAAAAGCAGCAGTTTGAGAGGTGTATTCAGGACTATTCAGGAAGGAGATGTATTTACTGGTCTCAGAGCAAGCACAGGAAGGGCAAGGCTCTTTGGAGACTTCTCTAAGTACAAAGAAGCTGACTGGCACTATTTCTGCACCCCTCCTTCCAGCCTGAATATACCAACACCTGCAAGAACCAGCATGAACACTCCCTACCTAGCTTTGCTAACAACACACCCTGTCCCTTCATTCTCTTTGGACGGCCCAATCCAACCCATCCTTCTCTGTAGGAGTTCCTCCAAAGCACCTCCATATCCTACCTCTGGCTCTCCTGCATATCCATCCTGTCCAGTCAGCCCCACTTGGCAGGAGTCCATCCAAAACTGAACAACAAGTGTGGTATTGTGTAAACAGCCCCAAGAGTGGCAAACACCACTTAAGAATGACTCTTGCCTTGGGTAGAGGGGAAGATAACCACATATATCAGGTCAACTGCAACCCCAGCAGTGGGCTGGGGGCAGACATCTAATTGACTGCTGTTCCCATCAACCAACAAAAATCTTACAAGGGACAGTACAAAGAGAGACTCCAGCAGTTTGGGGTCACTGCAACCCAAACAGACATCTAGTCTGACTGCTCTACCCACCAGTGAAAGCCTCTCAGGGGACAATGCAGAAAGAGCACCCTGCAGTTCAGTGTGACCACAGTTCTGGCAAGTGAGCTGAGAGTAGGCATCTGGTCTGACTCAATTCAAGCTCAAGGAAGACCCAGTCTGGACCCTAACATCACAGAGACCAAACACTGTCCACAACAGGCAAAGAGAGCCATTGAAGACAACTGGCTTGAAGGCAAACATATCTCAATCACAACAGTAGGGCATGCACAACACACTTAGGAGACACCCCTAAAGCCCCAAGTTCTGATGCACAGGGAGCATTGCACTACAGGGCACTACTGGACTTCTTCTTCATAAGATCACTAGTTTCTTTCTTTTTTTTTAAATTTAATTTAGTTTTATTATTTTTTTAAGATTTTATTTATTTATTTGAGAGAGAGAGAATGAGAGAGAGCACATGAGAGGGGGGAGGGTCAGAGGGAGAAGCAGATTCCCCGCCAAGCAAGGAGCCCGAAGCGGGACTCGATCCAGGGACTCCAGGATCATGACCTGAGCCGAAGGCAGTTGCTTAACCAACTGAGCCACCCAGGCGCCCAAGATCACTAGTTTCAAGAGCAGGAAATGTAGCTGACTTTCTTAACACATAGAAACAGACATAGAAAGTTAGACAAAGTGAGGAAACAGAGGAATGTGTCCCAAATGAAAGAACAGGGCAAAATTGCAGCCCAAGAGCTAAACAAAATGGAGATAAGCAATACACCAGATAGAGAATTCAAAGGAATGGTCATAAAGGTATGCACTAACCTTCAGAAAAGGGTGGAAGTTCCAGTGAGACCCTCAACAAAGAGAAAATATAAAAATAACTGACTAGAGATAAAACAATAATAAATTAAAAATTCACTTGAGGAAATAAATATTAGACTAGATGAAGCAGAAGAATAGATCAGTGAGCTGGGAAACAGAGTAATGGAAAGAAGCCAAATGAAACAGAAAAAGAAAAAAAGAATAATAAAAAATGAGGATAGGTTAAGGGAACTCAGTGACACCAACAAGCATAGTAACATTTGCATTATAGGGATCCCAGAAGGAGAAGAGAGAGAAAAAAGGGAGGCTGAAAATTTATTTGAAGAAATAGTAGCTGAAAACTTCCCTACTCTGGGGAACGCAACAAACATGCAGATCCAGGACACACAGGGAACTTCCAACAAAATCAACCTGAGGAGGTCCACACTAAGACACATGATAATTGGGCGCCTGGGTGGCTTAGTTGGTTAAGCGACTGCCTTTGGCTCAGGTCATGATCCTGGAGTCCCGGGATCGAGCCCCACATCGGGCTCCCTGCTCAGCAGGGGGTCTGCTTCTCCCTCTGCCCTCTTCCCTCTTGTGCTCTCTCTCTCATTCTCTCTCTCTCAAATAAATAAATAAAATCTTTAAAAAAAAAAGACACATGATAATTAAAATGGCAAAAGGTAGTGGTAAAGAGAGAATTTTAAAAGCAGCAAGAGAATGCAGTGCCTGGGTGTCTCAGTCCATTAAGCATCCATCTCTTTATTTTGGCTCGGGTCATGATCTCAGGGTCATCAGATCAAAACCTGCATTGGGCTCTGTGCTGGGTGTGGAGCCTGCTTAAGATTCTCTCTCTCCCTCTCCCTCTGCCCCTCCATCCCATCTCTCTTTCTCTATCTCTCTCTCCCTCTCCTAAAAAAAAAGCTGCAAGAGAAAAACAAAAACAACAACAACAAAAAAACCCAAAGCAAAACAAAAACCCTAGTAACATACAATGGAAACCCCATGAGGCTATCAGCTGATTTTTCACCAGAAACTTTGCAGGCCAGAAGGAGTGGCATGATATATTCAAAGTGCTAAATGGAAAAGATCTATAACCAAAATTATCCTTTCCAGCAAGGCCATCATTCAGAAAGAAGCAGAGATCGAGAGTTTCTCAGACAAACCAAAGTTAGAGGAATTCATCACCACTAAACCAGCCTTAAATTAAAGGGGATTCTTTGAGTGGAAAGGAAAGATCATAAGGAGAAATAAGAAAAATAGGAAAGGAAAATATTTCACAGATACGTACAAACATAATACAAGTAGTAGATTAATCATTTATAAAACCAGTATGGAAGTTAAAGCACAAAAGCAGTAAAATTAAATATATCTGTAACAATTAGCCAAGGGATTCACAAAATAAAAGGATGTAAATTATGACACCATGTATCTAAAATGTGGGGAGAAGTGGAGTAAAAATTTAATGATTTTAGAATGGGTTCAAACAAGCGACCTCCAAATTAAAATAGACCAGTGTATGCAGAAGATGTTATATACAAACCTAATGGTAACCACAAATTAAAAAAACCTGCATTAGATATGCAAAAATAAAGAGAAAGGAATCCAAGCATATCCCTAAAGAAGGCCATCAAACCTCAAGAAAAGAGAGCAAAAGAAGAAAAGAACAGAGAACCACAAAACAATCCTAAAACATGTAACAAAATGGCAATAAGTACATACCCATCAAAAATTACTTTGAATGTAAGTGGACTAAACATTCCAATCAAAAGACATAGGGTGACAAAATGGATAAAAAAAACAAGGGGCGCCTGGGTGGCTCAGTTGTTAAGTGTCTGCCTTCAGCTCAGGTCATGATCCCAGGGTCCTGGGATCGAGCCCCGCATTGGGCTCCCTGCTAAGTGGCAAGCCTGCTTCTCCCTTTCCCACACCTTCTGCTTGTGTTCCCTCTCTCACTGTCTCTCTCTCTCTGTCAAATAAATAAATAAAATCTTAAAATAAAAACAAGATTCATCTATATGTTTCCTACAAGAGACTCATTTCAGACCTAAAGACACATGCAGATTGAAAGTGAAGGGATGGAAAAACATTTATCATGCAAATGAAAGCAAAAAGAAAGCTGGGGTAACAGTACTTATATTGGACAAAATAGACTTTAAAACAAAGACTTTACCAAGAAACAAAGAATGGCAATATATAATCATAAAAAGTACAATCCAACAAGAAAATATAATAACTGTAAATATTTATGCCCCCAACAAGGAAGCACTCAAATACATAAAGCACCTATTAAGAAACATAAAGGAAGAAATCAATAGTAATATAATAATAACAGGGAAATTTAACATCCCACCTACGTGAATGGATAGATCATCCACACAGAAAATCACCCAGAGGGATGCCTGCATAGCTCAGTCAGTTAAGCACCTGCCTTTGGCTCAGGTCATGATTCCAGGGTCATGGGATTGAGTCCCGTATTGGGCTCCTTGCTCAGTGGGGAGCCTGCTTCTCCCTCTGCCTGCCACTCCCCCCGATTGTGCTCTCTCTCTCTCTCTGACAAATAAATAAATAAATAAAATCTTAAAAAAAAAAGTCACTCAGAGAATATTGGCTTTGAATGACACATTGGACTAGATGGATCTAACATATATATTAGTAACATTCCATCCCCAAACAGCAGAATACACATTCTTATCAAGTACACATGGAACATTCTCCAGAATAGATCACATATTAGGTCACAGGACAAGTCTCAACAAATTAAAAAAGATTGAAATCATCATGCATTTTTTCTGACCATAATGCTATGAAACAAGAAATCAACCATTAGAAAAAAGTCTGGAAAGAACACAAATACATGGAGGTTAAATAACATGATGCTAATCAATGAATGGGTCAACCATGAAATTAAAGAGGAAAGGAGAGATTCTGTGGAGACAAATGAAAATGAAAGCAACAATCCAAAACTTTGTGATGCAGCAAAAGCTGTTCTAAGAGGGAAAATTATAGCAATTCAGGCCTACCTCAAGAAGCAAGAAGAATCTCAAACAACCTAACCTTATACCTAAAGGAGGTAGAAAAAGAACTAACAAAGCCCAAATCTAGTAGAAAGAAGGAAATAATAAACAGAAATAAATGAAATAGAGACTAAAAAACCAATAGGACAAATCAATGAAACCAGGAGCTTGTTCTTTGAAAAGATAAAAAAAATTCATAAACTTTTAACCAGACTTATCTGAAGGAGGAAGAGGGGGAGGAAGAGGAGGAGGAAGAGGAGGAGGAGGAGGAGGAGGAGGAGGAGGAGGAGGAGGAGGAGGAGGAGGAGAAGAAGAAGAAGAAGAAGAAGAAGAAGAAGAAGAAGAAGAAGAAGAAGAAGAAGAAGAAAAAGAAGGAGGAGGAGGGAGGAGAGGAGATGGAGGAGGGGGAGGAGGGGGAGGAGGAGGCGGAAGAGAAA